TTTTTCTTCGATGCATCAGCCGAAACTCAACTCAACAACTTTCGTCGCCCGAAATCAGTCAGCACTCTTCTCATCATCACCATCACCATCCGCATCCTCATCATCATCATCATTGCCGATTATCAGCAGCAGCTATTAGCCGTACTCGTAACCATATACTCGACCCCAAATTACATGCTCACGCGCACACGTAAATTAATAACACATCTGTCTGAAATTTAAATTTATGTATACCCATATTGTAACGACTAAACCAACAACAACGCCGGCAGCGACAACTTAAACGGTGAGTATTTGAAGATATTCGTCACTCACTAGCAATGCAAGTAGAAATAATCGAGTGAGCGACCACCCCTTGTGCAGTTGTCTATACACTATACAAAATAGTGTAGGAAAAGGATCCATTTATTTGCACACGCAAATCCCGACGGGTGGCAACTTTTGTTAGCCATTGTTAGCACTCGTATGTTGCCATTTTTGTGGCCAATACTAGGAGTACCATACTTTGTAAATATATCTAATAAGTATAAGTATTTCGAAATCAAGACGTTAATTACATATCAACTTTAATTTTCTTCGAGTAAATACTACTACCATATTCTGATCACATATCTGTTTTATTTTTTCTTTAGACCTTCAACTGCTAACCCATCAGACGTCACAGTGGCTCTACACTCAACGGAAGCCTTAATGGCTGCGGGTTTCTTGAAATCCGGCGATTTGGGTCCACATCCGCACAGCTATGGCGGCCCACACCCACATCATTCGGTGCCGCATGGGCCGCTGCCGCCAGGAATGCCAATGCCTTCGCTGGGACCCTTCGGATTACCCCACGGCTTAGAAGCTGTTGGGTTCTCCCAAGGTATGTGGGGTAAATATCGAACTAATTTTGGTAGAAAATCGTAGCTTGAATTAAAAAAAAGCGAAATGTGTGGCAGGCAAAGTGTACTTATGTAGAACTTCTATGAGACTAAAGGCTTGTGTGTTAATGTAGAATGATGGTCTGCACCGCATAATAGTTTCACGGTTTCGTTAGGACACTTTGCTTGTCTGAAAGGAATGCTATACTATGTACATATTTTTATTTTATTTATATGCATACACATGCACATACATATCAACCCCTTTGCGCAAAATTATCGTATCTTACAAAAACCAAATTTTACAGGAAAGGAATACCAAAGTTTAGATTGGCTGAGATAATTGAGAAATATAACCAAACGCAAGGTTTTTTTGTAGGATGGTCCCTACGTTATAATTTCTTAGCCCATATGATAATTTCGCCAACCAGAAAAAAATCATTGTTCCATACGATAAAATTTACAGTAAATTTTTGGGGTAGCTATTGGGATTCAAGCCGTACTATTTGAACAGGTGATGCGTTATGGGTTGTAAAACAAAGATGCATCAAAAAGTGAATTTCATAAAAAATGTAACATACGATAATTGTGCGTAAAGGGGTCGATATATAATTTGAATTTAGTTTCTCCCGTCGACGCTTTAGTTTTTTTTCGAGCAAAATCTGTATAATCATAGGATTTTCGTAATTTTTTGTTGTTGAACACAAATTTCATATTCAGTTTAATTTTCCCATTAGTAGTGGTAACTTTGCTTAAAAGCAGCTCAATAATTAATTAAACGTATCTCAAGTATACATTTTTAAATGCAGCTTAAGTTAAACTTAAGGGGAGCACAGCTTTGCATAAATACACTATGAACATTTGAGGGTATGTACATTACGGCGATCCGAAATTTTTTTCAGCCACCCTCTCCAGAATTTGATAACGTCGAAAAAAGAAGACAGTGGTTTTTTAATTTGAAATCGGTTAATATTTAACCATACCGACGCACAGTGGGCCATTTGGCTGTTCTAGCATAACGAAATTAATTATTCAAAACATAAAGAAAATTTCACAAAATTAGAAATTTTATATGTGTAATATTAATCTAAAAACGAACAAAGTTAAATAGTTTTCTTTTATATTTTTAAAATAATTATTAAAAAACATAATTTTTTTAATTCAACAATTGTATTGAGCTTGAGGCCGTTTTTAATGAAAATTTTTGCGGAAAAAAATATCAACTTACATTTTGGTAGAAGTTATGGCTATTTCGGAGATCACCACATCTCCTCATCAGACCTCTTCAACTCTGATTCGATCCAACGCGACCCCAGCCGCCGTAGCCAGCAATCTACCATATTGTTTTTACTTTACTTTATTCTTGCTATTTATAAATATTGAATATGGCTCATTCCACGGTAATCGATACCGAATGAAACGAAAATAAACTAAAGCATGTGACTGTATTATTTCTAGTAAGTAAGAGTAACTAAATCTAACTTTCAAGACTGAAAGCCAAAATTCTGAAATTTATCTCAAAATCAGACATTTTTTTTTACTTTAGGTTGTACCATTTACAAACCCATATGAGAGGTTAATTTTTTTCAAAATTTACAAGACTGATTTTCGTAGTCTTTTATCCTTTTTGCATTGTTTAAGCCGTCAGTGGAGAGAAAAATTCGTTAGCATTGTAACGGCGTAATTTTCAAATTTTTCGGGCAAGTACTAAATATTTTATTATATATTGAAGCAAAGCATATTTTAATCTCACACCCGTCACAAAATACACAAAATAGTTATTTTTTGAAGGAAAAC